ACATATTGTCAGAAGGAAACAGTCACTGGAGAAGGATATCATGCTTGGTAAGATGGAGGGTCAGAGAAAAAGAGGAAGACCCCCAACGAGATGGATTGCCCAGGTGGCAGCATTGATGGACTCAAGTGTGGCAGCAGTAGTGAGGTTGCTATACATGGGGTCGCTGTGATTCGGTTCTGACTCTATGGCACCTGACAACAACAACAACAAGGAGCTTTGGTGGAGTAGTTGGTCAGATGTTAGACTGCTAACTACAAGGTCAGCAGTTCAAACCCAGCAGCCACTCCTCACGAGAAAGATGAGACTGTCTGCTCCCATAGGAAAGATTATAGACTTGAAACCTATGGGACAGTTCTGTTCTGTCCTACAGGGTCATTATGAGTCCCAGAGCACTTACCAGCAGTGGGTTCATGTACAACAAAGGAACACTGATGGCACAGTGGCTAAGGTGCTTGACGGCTAACCTAAAAGGTTGGCAGTTAGAACCAACCAGCTGCTCCACAGGAGAAAAATGTGGCAGTCTGCTTCCTTAAAGATTGCTGTTGTTGTTAAGAACCGTGGAATTGGTTTTGACGCATAGTGACCCTGTTTAGAGTTTCCGAGGATTTCAATCTTTTGTGGAAACAGAAAGTTTCATCTTTTTCTCATGTAGAGGCTGGTGGGCTCGAATAGCCCACCTTAAGTTCATAGCCCAATGCCTATCCTGTAGAGAGCTAATATGCCCCTGTCCATAAAGGTGACAGCCTTGGAAACCCTATGGGGCAGTTCTATGCTGTCCTATAGGGGCCCGATGAGTCAGAATCTATTTGTCAGCAGTGGATTAATGTATAACCAGAATCCATTGTTTGCTTCTCACATACCACCCTTCACTGGAGTCTCAGCCCCAGCGAGCCATCTTCTGATTCATCGGGTGTACTTCTTTCCAAGAGGAGAAATGATCACCATAAATGGCAGCAGATCAAGAATTTATGACCCTAAAATCTGTTAGAAATACCATGTGAGGACCTGTGGGAAACAACATTGAAACCCTGAGAGGCAGTCATTACCATCACCACTTGCCCTGACACCCACGTCTCCCCGGTTACAGGAGCCCATAGGGCCCAGTACCAGTGACAGGCTCAATGCCCCCAGAGCTTCCCTTGATCAGTGAGGAATGAGAACCCATATGTGAACACCCCAGTTGCTCACTCTCAGTATACAATTCTGAGGTATGTGCTAGAGTCTCTTGCTCAAGAAGTCACCAGGCAAATTAAGCCCAAAGTGCCTCACAGGAAATTAGTTAGCCCATCCATTGTCTCATGTGCCATTTCCTCACTGTGATTCCAGGGGTTGCCTCTCAAAAAACCTATGGATACTACAATCCTTTTCCTAGATTCAACTTATGGAAAGAACACAAAGTACAACATTTAACTCTCGTACTAAGCAGGTGCCCTAAAACAAAGACATCAGGGTGTATGAGCGCTCTGGGCTTCAATCTCATGCTGCTCCTCTCTGTCGTATGACTTTGGGGACCCAAATAAACTCTGGGTCTCCCTACTTCATCTTTCTGAAGACTACAAAAGTACTTCTCCCCTAATATTTCCCCCCTAAACTATTCGTTAAGGAGCTCTGGTAGCGTAGTGGTTACGAATCAGGCTGCAAACCTCAGAGTCAGCAGTTCGAAACTACCAGCTGTTCCATGGGAGAAAGATGAGGCTTTCTGCTCCTGTAAAGATTTACAGCCTCAGAAACCCTGTACAGGGTCACTATGAGTCAGAACCAACTCCACGGCACATTTCAACAACAACAACAAGCTATTTGTTGGTAAAGTAGAGGATCAAGAAAAATAGAAAGACTCCCAATGAAATGGATTGGCACAGTGGTAGCATCAATGGGCTCAAACGTAGCAACGATTGTGAGGTTGGCCCAGGACTGGGCAGTGTTTTGTTCTGTTGTGCAAAGGGTCACGATGAATAGTTCCCAACTCAATGGCACCACCAACAACAACAGCAAAGTTCTTTGTGGAGTCCTGGTGTGGTGTTACTGTGCTGGATGGTAAAGTTGGTTTGAACTACAAGGTTGATAGTTCAAGCTCATCAGCCCCTTCTCAGAAACCCTACACAGGGTTGCTATGAGTTGGAACCGACTTGATGGAACTTAACAGCAACAAGTTCTTTGTAGAGAAAAAATAACATACATGAGATCATTCTATTAGGAAATCTATCATGCCTCATGTTGTTGTTGTTGTTAAGTGCCGTGGAGTCAGTTCTGACTCATAGCGACCCTGCACAGGGTTTCCGAGGCTGTAAATCTTTACGGGAGCAGAACGCCTCATCTTTCTCCCATGGAACCGCTGGTAGTTTCAAACTTAAATATACATGTAATATATGCATAATATAAAGATGGGTTCTTATGTATACAGTTGATTTGTGTCATTAGCAATAACATTTTGTTCTATTGAACATAGGTTATCAAGACTCAGAGCTAACACCATAGCAACTAACAAGATGAGAGTTTCTGCCCTTGCAAAGATTTAAAGCCTTGAAAAGCCAATACAGGGTCACTATGAGTGGTAACTGACACTATGGCACATAAACAAAAACAAATAATGAAAAATATGTGGCATGGTAGAAATTTCAATCATATCCTTTAGCAAACATTAGCATGCCAATGAGCAAGCTACAGAGAGATGGACTCAGGCTCATTAGAAGAATGAATATTCTGACACCTAAACATTACCTGTGCAGGCTCCTGATGTAGTAAGCACCCCAAGATAGAACCTTGGGCCACCAAGGGCTGTGAGTATGAGTTCCAGTGTGAGGAGCGGCCCCACACCAACTTTCTCATGTCCCCTCTGGCTCTTCATACAGGCCCCCCATGACTCTTCTGAAGAAGTATCAGCCCTTGCCACCTGAGCCGGAGAATAGCAGGCTACCTTTCTTTCAGAGACACACATTTCCTGAAACCCAGAGAGGGCCCAGGTACGTGATCTCCTATTGCAGCTAATATCGGTGCTGATGAAATTACCAGGGGTACTGATGGACTACAACCGGATGTCTTGTTACCTAGGATTGCTGTAACAGAAATCCTAAAGGGGGTGACTTTCATGAACAGACATTGATGTTCTCACAGTTCTGAAAGCTGAAAGTCCAAATCACAGTCTTAGCCACATTGATTCCTTCTCTGAGCTTCTCTCCTAATTCTGATATTTGCCAAGGACCCAGAATGGTTTCAAGAGGTTGTAAATCTTTACAGGAGCAGAAAGCCTTATTTTTCTCCCTCGGAGCGACTGGTAGATTTGAACTGCTGACTTTGTGATTAGCAGTCCAGCTCATAATCCACTAAGCTGCCAAATACTAGTAGTAGTAGTAATATCAATAAATAAAATTGTAAGACAAATAATGATGATGAAAATAATAAATAATGGTGGCCAGGATTAGGAGCTCTGGTAGTGAATTAAGCTACTAATGTCATGGTCAGCAATTCAAAACTACCAGCTGTTCTGTGGGAGAAAGATGAGGCTTTCTGCTCCCATAAAGATTTATAGCCTTGGAAACCCTATGCAGGGTCACTATGAGTTGGAACCGACTCCACAGCACATTAATAACAAGGATGTGGAGAGGCTGGAATCCTTCTCCACAGCCGGTGGGGCTCTAGAATGGTGCAACCACTGTGGAAAATGGTATGAAACTTCCTCACAACAGTTGGAAATAGAAATCCTGTAATACCCAGAAATCCCTCTATTGGTCTGTATCCTAGAGAAATGAGAGCCATGACACGAATAGATAGATGTATGTTCACTGCAGCACTGTTCACAGAAGCCAAATGGCCTCATATGCATGTGAAAGCTGGACAACAAATAATAGAAGAGAAAATGAAATAGAAGAATCTAAGCATTAAGAACCAATAGATCCGTTTAGGAAGAAATGCAGCCAGAGTGCTCCTTGGAGGCCAGGATGGCCAAACTTTGTCTGTCATACTTTGGACATATTGTCAAGAGGGAACAGTCACTGGAGAAGGATATCATGTTTGGTAAGGTAGAGGGTCAGAGAAAAAGAGGAAGACCGCCAGTGAGATGGATTGACCAAGTGGCAGCATCGATGGAGTCAAGCATGACAACAATAGTGAGGTTGGCCCAGGATCGGGCAGTGTTTCGTTCTGCTATGTATAAAGTCACTGTGGGTTGGTACCAACTTGATGGCACCTAACAACAACAACATAGGAGAATATTACTGAAAGTATGAGAGGCTGCCAAAAGTCCTACCAAATCTATCTTGGAAGAAGTACAGCAGAATACCCCTTAGAAGCAAGGGTGGTGAGACTTCACCTCTCATATTTTGGATGCTGAACATGTTTCAATAGTGCTTCCAAACTCACAGAGTAGGAAGAAAGTTCTGGTGGTCTGTTTTTTTGTTTCTTTGTTGTTGTTTTTTAAATCAGCCAATGAAAACCCTATGGATCCGCGCAGAACATTGTTGGGTCCTTAGACAACCATGGGGATGTGTCAGGTCAGGGCAGCATTTGGATCTGTTGTGCATGGGATGTCCATGAGTTGGGCTGACTCACTGGCAGCCAGCCACTGTCTAAGGTGGCCAAAGCTATAATTCTTTGCTCCATTTACTCCCACGGAGTTGAATAGTTATAGACACCATCTACCTCATCGTTCTCCTGTGGCACTGGTGGTGGATTCAAACCCTTGACCTCTTGGTTAGCAGCACAGTGCTTCCCTCATTACACCCCAAAGGCCCCTGATCTGTGAATGACCCTGGAAATACCCCCTGAATAAGGAGGAGTTTTTCTTTAGGAAAAGCACTGTGCTTTCAGGTGTATTGTTAAGTAGTTGGTGTTGTTAAGAGTCATCAAGTCAGTTCTGACCCTTAGTGACCCCTATATAGGGTTTCCTAGGAGTGGCTGGTGAGCTTGAACTGCCAACCTTGCAGTTCAAACAGCTTTGCAGTCTAGGGCATTAACCCATAGCACCACACTATTGGTGATCACAGTCATGTAAATGGTCATTGGAGACTATGGTTGGGCTGACTTCCTCTGCAAACACAAGGGACTTTAGAAGTCTGAACTTACAGCCAAACCCCATGGAAGCTCTGCTCCTAGCAGCTGCTACCCTAAAGACATCCGGAGTTGAATTACCCTCCTGCAACTGTCTGTGATTAGCATCAACTGCAGGCAACGAGAAGCTGCTACCCTTTATTCGCCCAGCATGCTAGTTGTATTTCCAGCTATTGTTTCAGCCCTCATAAGTCTTTTCCAGCTCTGCCATTCTCTGTTTTAAAGCTCCACAAAACAATTGCTGAATCAAAACACATCAGTTAAGGAAACTGTCACTTAGATAAATCACTGGCAACTCAGATCTAGAAGGAAATTCTCAAGTTTGGGAAATGTTGGTTGGATATTCTCAACCACTGTCATGACTTTTGTAATACTGATGCTTTTAACTATTATTTTTTACTCTGCCCATTTCTTGGCTTTAACAAATTTAAAGGGGAAATATATCAAGGGACTTGTTGCTTAGGGGACCTTGAGCTTTTGGATGGGATGATGATATAATTTGGAAGAGGATCATGGTGATGGTTGAACACAAAATGAGTGTAATTAAGGTCAATGAATTGGACTTGTAAAAAATGTTCAAATGGCAAATGTTTTGATACGTACCTATTCACAATAATACACAAAAAAGAAAGAAACATATCATTCCCTAAGAAGCTTTAATGCAAACAGTACCAATAAAATTGCAGATCAAAATTTTTGAGCCTGGGGGATTTTTTTCTCTGTTAAAAATAGTAAGGAAAGCAAATTTTAGAGTGATATTTAGGATATACTGACAATTACAATTTATACACCATGCACTAGAGCCAGTGATGAAGAAACTGAAAAACTCTACCAAATTCTGAAGTTTGAAATTGATCAAACATATAATCAAGATGCATTCATACTTACTGGTGATTGAAGTGTAAAAGTTAGAAACAAAGAGAATGGATCTGTAGTTGGAAAATATATTCTTGATATTAGAAATGACACCGAAAATCACATGACAGGAATTAACGAGACCAAGGACGTCTTCATTGCAAATATCTTTTTTCAACAACATAAATGGTGATTACACATGTGGACCTCACCAAATGCAATGCATAAGAATCAGTGACCACATCTGTGGGACAAGATGATGGTTAATGTCAGTATCATCAAAATGTTGCCAAACCGAAACGAGGGTTTGCCGCCTGAAACTGTAGTCAATCACAGAGACAAGGAGAGATCCAATACAAGCTTTGTTAGCAGAAAGTCAACCATCTGGAGGACAGAGAGAACCATTTCTCAGGACCGTCCTATCTTTCACAAAGAGCAGGCCCATTATATAGGGTAAGTTACATTTGGATGTACACTTCATCTATTTTAACATCAAGATAGCATTCTTTGAAAAAGAATAAACTTCCTCAAACATTCTACCTTTAGGGTCTTGGCTACTTAATTCCTGAGATACCTATCTGGGTAGGTTTAAGCATGTCCTATTCTCCTTGTCCTGTCCTTCTAGGACTGCAAGATCATCCCAACCAATCTATAAACTTCCTCATTTGCAGGGTCCTCACTTGAGACTCAGTGACTAAACTGACTCCATTTTCTTTAGGTCAGTAGATCCGTGCTATCAAATCTATTGGGTCAATCCATTTCCTAGAAGGTTCTCACATTTTCACTGACCTTTGATTTTATTATTTTACCTAACATGGTGTCTTTTTGAGCACTTTTTTTTTTTTCTCCTGATGATATGCCCAAAATTGATGTTGTTAGGTGCCATCAAGTTGTTTCTGCCTCATAAAGACCCTTTGTCCAACAGAATGAAACACTGCTATATCCTGTACTGTCCTCACAGTTGTTACGTCTGAGTCTCTTGTTGCTGTCACTGTGCCAATCCATCTCTTTGGGGACTTCCTCTTTTTCGCAGACCCTCCACTTTACCAAGCATGATGTTCTTCTCCAGGAACTGGTCCTTCCTGAAAACATGTCCAAAGAAAGAGGATGTCTTGCCTTCCTTGCTTCTAAGGAACATTCTGGCTGTTGTTGTTGTTGTGAAGTGCTGTCAAATCGGTTCTGACCCATAGCGACCCTGTATAGGGTTTCCAAGGAGCAGCTGGTGAGCTTGAACTGCAGATCTTGCTGTTCAAACCAATTTGACAGCCCAGCACACTAACCCACAGTGCCACACCAGGACTCCATTCTGGCTGTACTTTCTCCAAAGCTAATTTGCTTGTTCTTCGGGCAGAACCTAATACATTCAATATTTTTCACCAATACCTCAGTACAGCTGTCTGTTGCTCAGAGATCTGAGACCAGGTTATAACACCCAAGCACCATGTGCTTCTGGAATAATCTCACCTGGTACAGACTGACCCTTATGATTCTAGATCAGCAGCCTCATCTAAAATTGACTTTGCAGCCTCAGTTTCCCAGCTATTTCTCCAAACTATAGATTCCTGGTGTGGCACTGTGGGTTAATGCACTAGACTGCAATGTCGGTTTAAATTGAAAGGTTGGTGGTTCAAGCTCTCCAGCCACTCTTTGGAAACACTACACTGGGTTGCTATGGGTCAGAACCGACTCAACGGCACTTACCAATGATAACAAAATTGCCTCTTCACTGACAGACCTGGGTAGATGGAATGTGCACCTTCATCCCTACTCCATATGGTCTTTTCGTAGGACTTCAGTCTCATTCCAACAATGCCCATTGAGTACACACCATTTTCAATATCATCTCTCACATTTTTCATGACAACCCTCCAGATGAGAAAAGTGAGGTTTAGAGAGGTTACTTTGCCAGGGAGTCTGGAAGACTTGGAGTTTATTCTGAGGCCAGACCGTGTCCACATGATAAAGTTCCATTTTGAGTTATGTTGAACAGGAAAAGGTAGAAACATTAACTGTGTCTTCTCTGCCCAAGAGACAAGCTAGAATGCTAATCAGGTTACTGAATGGAACCAATCCCCCAGCCCAGGAGACAAGCTATATGCTAATCAGGTCACCAAATGGGACCAATCCCCTTGGTTTCCCTCCTGTCCTCAAATAGGTCAGCACCCTAGCCCCTCCCCAACTCTGACCTCATATAAGCCTATATTGCCCTCCATTCAGTGCTCAGAATCTGGAGAAGCTAGCTCCTCTGAGCCAGGCAGCTTAATAAAACTGGAACTATGCTTCACCTCTCTGAGTGGCCTCCGTTTCTTCGATGATGGATCAAGAGCTGCAGTGACACCCTCGGACCCAAAGCTGCTGTGACACTCTCAGGCCTAAAGCTGTTGTAACACTCTCGAATCTAAAACTGCTGTAACAATGCCCCTCCTATTGAACTGTATGGAGTCCTGGTGTTGCACTATAGGATACGCATTGGACAGCTAACCATAGGGTCGGCAGCTCAAACCCACCAGCTGCTCCTTGGAAACTCATTTAGGGTCACTATGAGTCAGAACTGACTCAAGGACACGTAAAAATATTCTGCTTTATGCTTTGTTTTTGTCTCTGTCCTGTTTGTCTAATTAGCTTCCTTTCTCTTACACATGCATTCTTATCATTCCAGTGCACTGGACAGCTTCATATATAAAAATCTGTCCACTTTCTTAAAGCAAAAAATCTAGGAGCTTTCAAATCAAGGTAATCATAGCAGGTCTGAGGGTCCCAAAGAAATCTGACATAGAAAACAAAATATCAATAGGAATGATGATGGTATTTAAGTTCTCCCAAAATGAGAAATGAGTTTATTCATGGTTTTTACCTTTTACATTGGTTCATCATTTTTTTTTGTCTTAGAAAATCATGACCAACAAAGCTTGGCTTTAGTTTTATAAAACTGTAATAAATATACTGGATTGTAGGCTCTGAATTTGGCAGTGCAAACGTAACCAAAGGTTTGCAAGCATTCAATTATTTTATTGTGATCATTATGAACCATGTTTTATATAACACTGTTTCTTTTTCTTCCAGGCAGATAAGCTTAAAGGATTTAAGTGACGTAAGTAGCAATTTTGCCCTGGGAACCATAGAAGCAAACATTGACCAAATGTATAGGCAAGATATGGGTACCCTGTTGGCACTATGGGTAAGCACCCTCCAATTAATGGAAAGGTCGGCAGTTCAAATTCACAGCTAGTTTTCAGAAAAACAGATGTGGCAGTCTGAATCTAAAGCTTTTCAGCCTTGAAAACCCTATGGGGCAGTTCTACTGTGTCCAATAGAGTAACTAGGGGTCAGAATCATCCTGGTGGCAAGGGGTTTGGCTTGGTTTTTTATGGGCAAGATACTATTGCTCCCAATAGTAATCACACTTGGTCCTCGTGATGAAGTCCTGGTGTGGCGCTGTAAGATATGCACTCAACCAAAAGGTCAGTTGGAACCACAGGATTGGCAGTTCAAACTCACCAGCGACTTCTTGGAAACCCTATATAGGGTCATTATGGGTTGGAACCAACTTGATGGCACTTACTAGCAACAATTCTCATAATAACTTTGAGAATAACAACTGGCAGACAATAGGGCCAGACCCTGAAAATCCATAGGTCAGAGATTCACTCTCATCCATATGTCTCTCTGCTTTAAAAAGTACAGATACCTCTGACCTTGTTGATATTGTTAGGTGCCATCGAGTTGATACTGACTCATAGTGACCCTATGCATAACAGAATGAAACACTGATCGGTCCTGGGCCAACCTCACAATTGTTGCCACGCTTGAGCCCATTGATGCTGCCACTTTGCCAGTCCATCTCACTGGGGTCTTCCTCTTTTTCTCTGACCCCCCACTTTACCAAACATAATATCCTTCTACAGCAACTGGTCTCTCTGACAATATGTCCAAAGTATGAAAGACAAAATCTGGACATTCTGGCTTCCAAGGAGTACTATGGCTGTACTTTTTCCAATACAGATCTATTTGACCTATAAGAGTAAAAAATAAAATGTATTACTATCCCTTATGGTGGCCCCTCAAGATGTCAGCTTGTGGACTAAGGTGCACCTGACCCAAGCCATGGTTGTTCAATAACTTCATATGCATGTGAAAGCTGGACAGCGAATAAGGAAGACTGCAGAGAAGAATTGATGATTTTGAGTTATGGTGTTGGAGGAGAATATTGAAAATGCCATGGGCTGCCAAAAGAACAAACAGATCCGTGTTGGAAGAAGTACAGCCAGAGTGCTCTTTGGAGGCCAGGATGGCCAAACTTCGTCTCTCATACTTCAGACATATTGTCAGGAGGGACTAGTTGCTAGAGAAGGATATCATGTTTGGTAGCATGTTGGGTCAGAGAAAAAGAGGAAGAGCCCCCCCAATGAGATGGATTGGCCACGTGGTAGCATCGATGGACTCAAACATGGCAACGATAGTGAGGTTGGCCCAGGATCGGGCTGAGTTTCGTTCTGTTGTGCATAGAGTTGCTATGAGTCAGTACCAACTCAATGGTACCTAACAACAACAACAACATCACTGTCACCCCATGTTTTACAGAATAGAACTGCTCCATAGGATTTTATTGACCTTAAGGAGTCTTGATAGCACAGTTGGATAAACTCTCAGCTTTAACTGAAAAGGTCAGCAGTTCGAACCAACCAATTACTCCTCAGGGTAAAGTTGAGGAATTCTGCTTCTGTCAATATTTATTATGAGACTGTTTTGCTCTACTCTGTGTAGTCACTATGAATCTGAACTGACTGGGAGAACATGGGATTTTAGGTCATCTTAACATAAGCAGGTTGCCAGGTCATTTCTTCTGTGGTACCCCAGGGTGGGTTGAAACCATCCACCTTTACAGTCAAGCACACACTGTGCCACCTGGGGACCATGTGTTGGAATCAACTCAGCCTCAACTTACAACAACCAAATGATGATTATCCCTATTTCAAGGGTGAGACTGCTAAATCAAAACAAGCTAAGATCCAGCATTTAAGCCAAGATTGTTTTTTGCCACTCATGTCCAATGCTTACTAGATAAATGAAGAGTACTGCCACTTGGAACACATGAAGTCTCCATTGATGATGTCGAGTTGCCACCATTACATCAGACATAAAACTTTGGGAAGCCTGTTATATCCGGCTATTTGCTCTCCACAGTAAAGACAGAACTCCAGAAGAGAATAGATATGAACTTCAGAGTCACACAGGCCTGGATTCAAATTGTACTAGTTTTGAGAAGTTTGACAAATGCTTCTGTACTTCCACTCCCCAGATTTATGTTTCTTCTGTCATAAACTCAGGATGGGTAATGCACTTCTTCACACAGATGCACAAAATGTCAATCTAAGCATACAAAATGTCAGTTAGTAGTAGTTGTTACTGTTGTTAGGTGTCATTGAGCTGGTTCCAATTCATAGTGACCATATACACAACAGAAGGAAACACTGCCCATTCTGGTCATCCTCACAATCATTGTAAACTTTGAGCACATTGCTGGTGCCACTATGCCAATTCATCTCATTAGGGGTCTTCCTCTTTTTCACTAACTCTCTACTTTACCTAACATGGTATCCTTCTCCAGGGACTGGTCCCGCCAGATAATATATCAAAAGTATGAGAGAAGGAGTCTCCCAATCCTGGCTTCTAAGGAGCACTCAGGCTATACTTCTTCCCACCCTGATTTGTTTGTTCTTCTAGCAGTGTATGGTACTATTAATAGTCTTCTCCAACACCATAACTCAAATGTGTCATTTCTTCTATTGTCTTCCATATTCATTGTCCTACTTTTGCATGCATATAAAGCTATTGAAAATACCATGGGTTGAGTCAGGCGCACCTTAGTCCTCAAAGTGACATCTGAGCTCTTGAACACTTTAAAGAGGATTTAGGCAATATGTCATTTGATTTATTGACTGCTGCTTCCTGAGTGTTCATACTGGATCCAAGCAAAATGAAGTCTTTGACAACTTCAATCTTTTCTCCATTTATCATGATGATATTTATTGTTCCAGTAGCGATGATTTTTGTTTTCTTTACATTAATGTTCAACCCATACGGACACTGTGGTCTTTGACCTTCATCAGCAAATATTTTAAGTCTTCTTGGCTTTCAGCAAGCAATGTTATATTTTTGCATATTGCAGGCTGTTAATGAGTCTTCCTCTAATCACAATGCCACATTCTTCTTCATGTGATCCAGCTTCTCAGATCATTTGCTCAATATGAAAATTAAATTGTTGTTAGTTTCTTTTGGGTTAGTAGTGACTCATACCGACCTTATGCACAACAGAACAAAACACTGCTCCATACTGTGCCAATCTCACAGTCGTTGCCACGCATGTGTCCATTGCTGCTGCCACTATGCCAATCCATCTCATTGGGGGTCTTAATCTTTTTCACTGACCCTCCTCCTTACCAAGCATGATATCCTTCTCCACAGACTGGTCCCTCCTGATAATATGCCCAAAGTATGAGAGGCAAAGTCTAGCCATCCTGTATTCTAAGGAATATTCTGGTTGTACTTCTTCCAAGACAGATTGATTTGTTCTTCTAATGGTCCATGGTACTTTTATTCTTCTCCAACACCATAACTCATAAGCATCAGTTCTTCTATAGTCTTCCTTATTCACTTTCCAGCATTCACATGTATATGAGGCTATTGAAAATACCATGGCTTGGGTCAGGTGCACCTTCGTCTTCAAACTGACATCTTTGCTCTTGAATACTTTAAAGAGATCTTGTGCAGCATATTTGCCTAATGCATAAGCCCTTTGATTTACTGACTACTGCTTTCATGAGTGTTGATGGTTGATTAAAGCAAAATGAAGTCTTCAATCTATCCCCAGTTATCTTGTTGTTATTTATTGATTTAGTTAGAGATTTTTGTTTTCTTTACATTGAGATGCAACGCATACTAAAGGCTGTGGTTTTGATCTTCATCAGCAAGTATTTTAAGTCCTCCTCACTTGAAACTAACCAAGTTGTATCTTCTGCATATCACAGGTTGTTAATGAGTCTTCCTCTAGTCATAATGAGACTTTCTTCTTCATATAATCCACCTTCTTGGATTATGTGCTCAGCATACAGATTGACTAAGTATGGTGAAAAAATATAATTCTGACACACACCTTTCCTGATTTTGAACCATTCGGTGTCCCCTTGTTCTGTTCAAACAATTGCCCTGGTCTATGTACAGGTTCCTCATGAGCACAATTAATTGTTCCAAAATACTTATTCTCTGTAATGTTGACCATAGATTATCATGATCCAAACAATCAAAATCCTTTGTGTAGTCAATAAGCAGAGGTAACCATCTTTCTGGTATTCTCTACTTTCAGCCAAGATCCACCTGATATCAGCAATGATATACCTCATTCCACATCCTCTTCTAAATCTGGCTTGAACACCTGGATTCTCCCTGTCAATGCACTGTTGCAGCTGTTTTTTAATTATCGTTAGCAAAAAATTTACTTACATGTATTATTAATGATATTGTCCAATGATTTCTACATCCTGTTAGGTCACCTCTCTTTGGAATCATAAATATGGATCACTTCCAATCAGTTGTCCAGTAGCTGTCTTTGAAATTTCTTGGTACAGATTAGTGATTAGTGATAGTGAGTGCCTCCAATGCTACATCAGTTTTCTGAATGATTTAATTAATATTCCATCAATTCCTGAAGACTTGTTCTTTGTCAATGCCTTCAATGTACATTGAACTTCTTCCTTTAGTACCATTGGCTACTGATCATATGTTACCTCTTGAAATGGTTTAACATTGACCATTTATTTTTGGTACAGTGATTCTGTGTGTGTTCCTTCCATCTTCTTCTGGTATATTCTGCATCATCAGTATTTTGCCAATAGGATCCTTCAGTATTGCCAATTGAGGCTTGAATTTTTTCTTCAGTTCTTTCAGCTTGAGAAATGCTGAGTGTGTCCTTCTGTTTTGGTTTTCTAACTCCAGATCTTTGCACATTTAATTATAATACTTGAGTTTTCCTTCTCAAGCTTTCCTTTAAAATTTCATTTTCAGCTCTTTGTTTTCTGGTTTCTTCTATTTACTTTAGCATCTCTATACTGGAAAGCAAGTTTCAGAGTCTCTTCTGACATCCATTTTGGTGTTTTCCTTCTTTTTTGTTTCCTTAATGAC